CATTGCCTTGAAAAACTGCGGGTGTCCTTCACGCCCCTTCATTACTCGCTGCCAAGCAGAGGGGAAAGTCTTGAGATGTGCCTCGAGTTTTTTGTAAGGAATGTTGTGTGGCACAAGACGTGAAGCTTGAATTGGCTGCTTCTATTCAGCGTTGGGAGCTGAGCCATTTGGCTTTGGGAAAACCAGGTGCAAAATCTGAAAAAAAAAAATGGAGAAGTTCCTATTGCAGTACAACTAAAGAGAGAAGAAAACAACAGATTTTCCCTTCAGTGACCCGTCTGTTTGTTTAGAAACAGGGAAGTGTGCAGGATGTTCCTTTGATGATCGATCTCATGTTTATATGAAACGGCTGATCTGGTGCTTTTTGTTATGCATGACAGAGTCTGACTCAATTGACACAGTTGTTTAGCAAAACCTTCAGCTCGCAGGCTGTTGGAGTGTGTGTGTGTGTGTGTGTGTCTGGGCTGTTAGCTACAGTCTTTCATGTCAGGAGAAGTAAACAGGAACCCCGGGGCCGGTCTGTGGTCAGACGTGGAAACCAGGCCACTGTAACCGCCAGTGAGGAAGGAAGAGGTAGAGAGATACAAACCATGAGCTTGACTCCTTATTGATCCATTATGAGTTCTCACCAGCTTTTCTGTCTGTCCCACGCTCTAACATTGTCCTTTCTTTCTGTACTGAAGAGGATTTGAACAGACAGTGTGCAAACAACTGGGATGTCGGGTCTGTCAGCGCTCCAGAACGAATGAATGAATGAATGTCTGCAGCCGAGCCAGTTCTGTCTGTCATCCAGTAAAGATGAACGCACTTGAATCAGGAGTGTCAAACCCGCTTAAACATCACTGCGTTATTGCCTTCTTAATTATGGCTGGATTCAAGAAACATTCTTAGAAATAAAATTCTTATTATATTACTTAAGAAAAAAAGTTACGAATATTATGAATTCCCCCCCCAAAAAAACATTTCTTAATAATGTTCTTAGCTTTATTTTCTTACCATTGTTCTTAAAGGAATAATTGACCCAAAAATGAAAGTTTGCTGAAAATGCGTTCATCCTCAGGCCATCCAAGAGGCAGATGACTTTGATTGTTCTGTTCCCCTGAAGAAATAAACTAATCTACAATCAAATCCAATCATTTCTAGATCAAATTTCTAAATAGCGTTGTTCTTAATAGGATTTTAATGATTCCGACGTCTAAAGTCTAGAATCAGCTCTGTGCTGCTGTTCTGTTGGACTGGCATGTAAAGAGACCCAGACTGCTGTAAGTCTGTCTCATTGCAGTCATATTAAAATGTCCCACACTGCCGCAGGACACACGCTGATAATACGTTTAAACTGTTCTTGCATAAACAAGTCCCTTGTTTAGTACATGGTTATCCAGCTGTATTAGCCTGTAACACGTCCCCGTTTCCTCTTTAATGCTTGCTTTGTGAATCTGTGGTTTTGTCAGCATCTCTCCTGCAGCATCCAAACATCTCACACTTTTGATCTAATCCTTCAAACAGGTTTGCAAAAAGCTCTGAAGTTCAGTTTGATTCATTCGCACAGAATTCTCTCGTGCACTGAATCGTTTGCAGTGGTTTCTTATGGGATGCTTTATAAGACAGAAACAAATATAGCACTGGATGAGGTGATATTTACCTGCAGTCCATTGTATAAATCAGAACTTGCCAATAGCTATGTTTCCATCCACTGATTTTTATGCACATTTTGGAATATCGCATAAAAAAACGCTTGATGAAAATGCCAAGATGTGCATAAATTCTAAAAATGCGCATTAAAATCTTATGCGCACATTTGAGTAGGATACACTTTATATCCGATAAGAAAAAATGTGCATAAACTATGATGGAAACACATTTACCGAATACATTCCTCTATGCGCATTGAAAAAGTCATGTGACTTTGTGCTATGAGATAACTTGACTAACCAGCGGACCGATCTCGTTCACAGAAATGCCTGAGCAAAGTGTGTCGTCAAAGTATTTCTGTATAATTGTCTTACATGACTGTGTTCCCAAATAACAGGCAAATCCGCCTCCGAAAGCAATGACTGCATTTATTGTGTTTCGTCTGCCTGCTCTGAGGCGCAAGTCAATTTATCATTCATGAAAATTATTATATTCAGTGGCTTCTCCTAGTTTCCTCAGAGATATTTCATGCCAGTTTATCAGGAAGTGACGGTTTTGTTCTCTTCGACTCGTTGGATGGAAACGGTGCTTTATTCGCAAATGTTTTATGCGATATCCCAGTTTTGCGCATATATTTTGATGGAAACATAGCTAATGTCTTCTATTGGAAAAGCAGCTCTTCAATATGCCTTCAGCTTGTGAACATTCATTCAAAACAGTATCAAAAAATCTACCTTAAAATACAGAGACAGTATTTCTGATGGCAGCCTGCGCTCCAGTAAAGGCTAGAAACACAAGTCAGTGCTCATGACAGAATGTGCTGTAATGGACCTGTGAAGTCTGTGACTCTTTCCTCATTATGACGGCTGTGTGAGTGGTCTTTATTAAAGACGACTGACGCTCTGTGTCTCTAACAGTAAGAGCGGGCAGATGAAGCATCCCATGGCTCTGATGTCACAGCGCTCACGTTACAGCCAGAGCCTTGCTGTGTTTGAAACACTCTCGCTGTAACCTCCAGAGCGTTTCCTTCAGTTTCTGGTGTTTCAGAGTTACTGGAGTGAGTCACTGTGTGTTTGGAGGATGACTGCAGGGAGGCCTGGGAAACCAGACCAAGAACAAATAGTCATGATGTCTTTGTCTCTGCTATTGGAAATATTGACATTCCCTGTGTTTGACCTCCTGTCACAGCTGCGTCAGGATCGAGCCGCTGTAGTGTCTCCAGTGAGTGTTTATAAGCGCTGACTGCTGTAAACCACATGGTTTCCACACTGAAAAGTGCGTGTGTCTGTGTGAAAAAAACTGAATTGTTATATTTTTGTTTGATTACTTTTTAAAAGATTGATTAAATTGTTATTGTTTTATGTCTTGACTTAATTACCACAGTTTTCTGGGGGAAAAAAAGCCAGATTATTGTAAGAAAGAAATAAAAATAAAATTCCAGAAAAATCAGAACAGAATATACAGAATTTGGAAAAAATAAAACTAAATTTGGGATAAAATAAAACAGATTTCATATGGCCCTGTATTTTTTTTTAAAGCGTTTAATAAAATGTTGTTTAATTGTGTAAGTTTTATGATTTCAAGAGTCCAGAAAAAGTTAAAACGGGGAAAAATTACAGAATTTTGGAAAATGAAAAATGGATTTTGGGATATATATATATATGTATGTATATGAAGTGCAATATAACTTCATGGGGCCCTGCTAGTGTGTTAAATTCCAAAGTCCTCTTGAATGGCCTCTAGTTTACTGCCGTTGCTGAAGAGGGAGTTCTCAGCGCACGAACTGAAATATTGTTTTGCAGTCATTTGCAATCTTCCATTTAGCTTAATTACCCTACAGCTGGTTTGAGTTTTTCTGCGGCAGAACTTTCTCACCGCTAATCTGAACTAGTACCACTGCTGTTGAGAGTTAGAGCGAAACACACCCTCCAGTTCAGAAACACAGCAGCCATGCTGTAAACCACATGGTTTCCACAATGAGGGAAAAGTGCGTGTGTCTGTGTGAAAAAAACTGAATTGTTATATTTTTGTTTGATTACTTTTTAAAAGATTGATTAAATTGTTATTGTTTTATGTCTTGACTTAATTACCACAGTTTTCTGGGGGAAAAAAAGCCAGATTATTGTAAGAATTCAATAAAAATAAAATTCCAGAAAAATCAGAACAGAATATACAGAATTTGGAAAAAATAAAACTAAATTTGGGATAAAATAAAACAGATTTCATATGGCCCTGTATTTTTTTTTAAAGCGTTTAATAAAATGTTGTTTAATTGTGTAAGTTTTATGATTTCAAGAGTCCAGAAAAAGTTAAAACGGGGAAAAATTACAGAATTTTGGAAAATGAAAAATGGATTTTGGGATATATATATATATGTATGTATATGAAGTGCAATATAACTTCATGGGGCCCTGCTAGTGTGTTAAATTCCAAAGTCCTCTTGAATGGCCTCTAGTTTACTGCCGTTGCTGAAGAGGGAGTTCTCAGCGCACGAACTGAAATATTGTTTTGCAGTCATTTGCAATCTTCCATTTAGCTTAATTACCCTACAGCTGGTTTGAGTTTTTCTGCGGCAGAACTTTCTCACCGCTAATCTGAACTAGTACCACTGCTGTTGAGAGTTAGAGCGAAACACACCCTCCAGTTCAGAAACACAGCAGCCACAATACAGGCCAAAAGCTGATCTTTGTTTCATTAGCACTCTTAGCGGGCTCCAGGCTAATGCTAACCCAACATCATTGAGACTTTGAGACAAACAAGATGCGAATGCAGATGTAAGTCTCTGAGGTTGGCGTGTTCCGCTGGGGTTTCCCACCGGCAGAGGCTCATGGGAATCTGAATAACACGGGCTTCCCACACCGCTTTGAGTCGCCCTGGCTAGTGTACATGCTATCAAGCTCTGATTCATCTGGAGGAGACTCATGCACTTCTGAGTGAATCCGGATCTTAAAGGGATCGTTCACCCAAAAATGATCATTCTGTCATCATTTACTCTAAACCTGTGGCTTTTGTTCATATTCAAAATGAAGATATTAATATTAATATTCTCTCATAATTTTTGTCTATCCGTTTCATGCTTCAAAAAATTCATAAAGTCATTGTTAATGCAATCCGCATGCATGGAGTGGTTTAATCCAAGTCTTCTGAAGAGACACGATCTGCTTCTAAACTTTCTTATTTGAGTTTTGCTCTTTCAGATGATCTGCTTTCTGTTGGACTGTAATGTTTTGCCGATCTGATTTGATGAATCACAAACACTGAGTAGTTAGAATAGAAGCACTTGCATTTTTCCTTGTGTAGTTCAGTCGGTTGTGTTACGTGTCATTTCTCAGATTTCTAATGTGTCTCAATATTTTTCTTTCTTTCAGAATCAGATCGGATCTGCTGCAGCGGTGACGAGAGGAACAGGATGATTCGCTCAGTAAGTGTCCTTGTCTTCTTTCTCTTCACAAGATTGTTCAGCTCGACTAATGTTTTTGTGGGGTCAGAGTTTGCGTTAACATCTCCACTTGGACTTCTGATCTCTCTTAGGTGGGTTAGGTGTAGTTCTAGTTTTAACAAGACAAATATACTGTATATTGTGTTTTCATAGAGCAGCCCAGTGTTGTGCCGCACATGTGATATTACAGTATTTCAGATGTTTTTATTATTTTCCAGTAATATTTAGAATCAAAGGTAGTGATGCCTGACTAGAAAACAAATCAGAGTTTGAGTCAGTTCTTATCAATGAATCAATCACACAGGTGAATACCTTCTGAATCATTCGGACAGTTCAACTCACGGAGTTGTTCTGAGTGTTTCTCATGTGATGCAAACTCCTCACCTTTCACTGAAAATTCACCTTTATGAGATCAAAATAGGTCACCTATGACACTGGCATAGATCCGATGAGAAAGTGTTGGGAGGAGGTCACAATTGTTTTTTTTTCCCCACACAAACATTTTCAAACTTGCATGTGCCTGTTTGTGCGCACACTCTGGTTTCGAATTACAATTCTTTTTGTTTTCGCAAGTTTACGGAGTTCTGCATGCTCGCAAATATTCTCATTATAACAAGAGTAAAAAAACATGCACACATGTATATAAGAATATAAGCTTCTACCATTAAAGATAAAACTTAAAGCGCTTTTTTGATGTGTCCTTTTAAGGCAATGTTTAAAAAAGGTAGTTTTAAAATTAAATCTAAAAATATTTGAAAAATATTTAATGCATTATTAATTATTATTGTTTATTATTATACCATTAATAATTATTTAATTTGTAGTTAACTAGTTTTAATTATTAATATTAATAATAATAATAATTTAATTTAATAATTTAAATTAATATTAATTATTAAAATAATTATCCCTTCTAGGCATTTGGTGTCTGGGCATATGCATTTATTTATTTATTTATTGACATTAATGACATGAGACTGTGACTTCCTGCACTTGCAATATGTCATACTTAGAGTAAAAGTACTAAAATTAAATTCAAAAGCAAGATGTGAGGAAAAAAAACCCTAGGTTGTTGAAATGGCAACGGAGCTAATGAGTGATCCTGTGCTGCCATCATACTGGTTATAATGGTAATTTCATGTCATTTTCATCTTAAATGTTTTTGTTTCCCATCACAAGACACATTTTTGATCATTTTTTTCCCATGTCAACTTCATGAATGAAAAGTGAATCTTTAAAGTCAATTTTACTGCATGTCTGTAAAAAAAAAAAAAAAA